TGATTAGCTTAAAAATTGTGGAAATTAATAAACTCAATTAAGGATAACGTAAATATAATCATATTTTTACGGACGGAACTTTGAACATTGTCAATATCAGTGCGCGAGTGCAACGAAAGTTCTCATCGCTGATGACCACCCTGATGACAACTTAAAAGGAGGAAGCCAGGGAGGCATCGCACAAATGAGGTGAGTTATAAGTTTTATTTATTGTTTGTAAGAAATTAATTAATTTTATTTAATTTCGCGCAATAATTGTCCATTTTTCTTGTGATATAATATATAAAATATTCTATGCATGTTCATTTTTAAATAATCAAAAATCAAATTGTCAATTAAAAATTAAATTAATTATATTTATCATAAAATATAAAATATAAAAAGGTTATATATTGTAATATTTTCCTACAGATATACAAAATGTTACAATATTGTTTAGAGAGATTTATTTTTAATTATTTAAATGATTCAATAAAAAATTAAATTTTTACTTATCGTGTTTTATAAAAATCTATATCTAAAAATAAAATACTTTTTTTTTTATTAAAAATCTATTATATAAGACGCGAATAAAAAATATAATAACATAAGAGAAATATAGAAAAAGAAAAGGAGAGTCAAAAGAATTTCCTTTTCAAAGAGAACCTTTTCCTTGTCAATAAATAAAAATTTGAGTTTGCAATAAAATAACCGATGCAATGATAAAATAAATATTAGTTATATTTATAAATAATAAATAACAATAGTTAAATCATTTAACATATCTAAAAATTTATTTTTTTATGTTTACAAATATTATTAAATTAAAAGATATAATTGTTCGTCTGAGTTAAACGTAATGAGAATAAATAAGTCTAAATATAACATTTTACAGATCCATTGCTTTTTGAAATGCAATAAGACATAAATAAAAATATATTCTAATTTATGAATATCTATGAATATAAAAGAGAAATGAGATCTCTGAAGCTGATTTGATCGATATTCGTCTGAAGATAATTTCAATAAACGATATCTCAATAACGAGAATTATATGTGGTTTTTGCATATATTTATTTATTGATAATGATGTTTTTATATGCAATGACGTACATATAAGATATGTCTGAATCTTTATGAAAAAAATAGACTGCAACGCTTTTTTCTACTTGTCAGACTAGAGAAAAATGAGGTGCAATATCGCGCGCCACGTCAACTCCCTACAATTAAATTTCCGCCAATTAATTCAGTGTGCGATGACATTAAAAACTTCTTATTGATTGTTTGAAAATAAAGTTAAAGTACGTGCATTATCATAGTATATGCAGGCTCTAAAGGATTTTTTACGATAAAAAAAAAATGTGTGCGGCTAAGTTTTTTTTTTAAACACACATTTATTAAATTAATCTAAATAAATGATCGGCAATATTTTAGATACATATATTTTTCACATTAAACACATTTCGCGTATAAAATAAATATTTCTAGAAGCCTTCTAATAATTTTAGCCACAAAATTACAATCAAAGAACCGTATTTTTTATCAGAATTGTTTTAACAGAATTTTAATTTGGGGCTCGCGTATTGAAATACTTAATGTTGAAAATTAAAAAGTGCTTTCTACTACATTTATGGTAATTACAAGCAATTACAGCAATCTTAAGATGATTTTACATTTTATAAACGAGCCCCTTAGATCGCGTATTATATATGAATATTTGTCTACCTCGACTATGCGACTTTCCAAATAATAGAATAAATTGCTATTTCGCATGTGCACTTTTTATCTCACTAGGCTTTACAAATATTTGCGACAATATGCAATGATACACGAAATATATCCGAAGTACGCAGAAGGAATACGCAGTGATACGTGATACCCGAATGCAGATGCAATAACGTAGACGCAACGGTACGCGGTCTGGATGCAGTACGTGCATAGATACACACACACGCTGATTTATATTCCGCGATGCGAATATCTTTTGAATCATATAAGGACATAACATATTTTAATAATCACTGCGCTATGCACTCGGAGGCGTGTAAACGTGCGACGATTTCAAATAATGTTACCGCGAAATTTTACATTTGCATATGTGGAGAAAACATAACGCTAAGATAAGAGAGTGACTAGAGTGACTACTTTTATTTTGCCGAAAAATAATTGCATAAAATATTATAAGATATAAAATAATTTACATTTATATTTAATTGATATTTATTAATTAATTTATATTATAAGATATAAAATAGGTTTTTTTCTAAGAGAATATATCATTTGTCGTAGAAATGATGATTTTGAATTTTTCAAGGATAAATTAGCGATATTGTTCCCCTCGATATATTCGCCGAAACATTATTATTAGATTCTAATACGAGCACAATGCCACGCGCTCGCCACCTCTTGCCACTCGATATCCTTCTCGGTAGTTTATCGCGCATCCCCCGGCGTTGCGTCGAAAATTGCAGCGTGCAACGTCGAAGATAAACGGCGGTGCAAGAGATGCACACAAACACGTGCACGCTCGTGTACGTTAGTACGCTATTTATATTCGGGATGCACGCATGCACCGCGAGGCTGGCAATATTGCCTTTCCCGATTGAAACAGGGGGGTAGCCGGGGGTGCAGCGAGGCTAGCCACCGTGGCGCCAGACGACTATACGGATTTCGGAAATTAAAAGCTTCCTGTTTCGCGCATACGAGAAGAGGATTTGGTCGTTGTTTCTTTGGGGAAGTCGTGCTTCACCACCGCCGTTTGACCTCTCACCACCGAATCGGCATGAACCGCGGAAATGGAGAGAAAAATGATAGGATTTAACGAGTGTTAAAGATAGCTATTCCAGCGCTTTGAATTATTTCGATATAACTACATCAACTATACAATATCAATTTAAATCTCATTTAGAAAAAAATTAAAATAATGCATTATTAAAATAAATTTAATTTCCCATTTAAATAAAAGGTAATATTATTTAATTGTAACGTATTATTATAGAGATATTAATATAATTAATAAAAGCGTGCAATGGTTCTTGCCATTAAAAAATAATTTAAAAAATTAAGAATATTATACATATATATGATAAATAACGATATTTTTGTCCGCGAATATTTAAATTAATTTAAGATTGATTTTCTGATTTCCTCTTAAAATATGCTTCTAAAGATTTTTATATATAATTAGTAAAATGAAAAGTTCAATTTCTTATCATTTTATACGTCATGTGTTCAATATACAGGGTGTCCCAATTATCTTCCGTCATCTTTCAAAGACAGATTCCTGGGATCATTTGAAGACGATTTTTCCTCAGCGAAAATGTCAATGAAGGATCATTTTTTGCATGCTCCCGATTTTTGTCATCATATATCTTTGCAATTAAGTCTTAAATTAAAACTCAACTAAAGTAAACTCTATTTAAAATTAATCGAATGTGGTTTTGTTAATATTTTATTTCTACAAAGCTTAGTTTACGAAAAACCCCTTATTTTCAATCATTTATAATTCAAAAATTTTTAGTGCCTCGACATTTTCGTTGAGAAAAAATCGTCTTCAGATGATCCCAGGAATCTGTCTTTGAAAGATGACGGAAGATAACTGGGACACCCTTTATAAAAGAAGTTATACAATAGGGATTTAAAAAAAATTGCGGTTATAGAAACGTACTTCAATCAAATTAATCAAAAGAGCACAGAACAGTCGAGATTAGCAATTATCTAAAGGCGATTTCGACGCTATTATCCCGATTTATAAGTCTGCCGAACTAAGCGAGACTTGAATGTCGATCTGTGACGTTGATTGGTGCACGCGATTCATCTACGACTAACTTGGGGCCGAAACTTTGGAATTCGATGGTCTGTACGCTATTTATTACACTGACGTGTCTACGAATCGTAGGATTGCGATAACCAAGCTTAATTTGCTTAAATGTCATTTTTGCTATAAACACATGCATTGCTTATAAAAACATATAATGCGCATACGTCAGTGACGTATGTGCTCAAATCTACTATATATAAAGTATAGTATATATAATCACATAAAGACATACAACCACACACTTTCTTAATAATAGAATCTACGAAATCATAGAGTATCGCGCAAATTAAAGAAAATAAATCCTTCAATCTCTTTTTAAATCTTATAATTGTTATTAATAAAGTGATATTAATAAAACATAAGGTGATATTAATAAAACTCTTCACATATGTTAAACAATCTGAGAACTTTTCATCGAGGGCGAGTTTAATCAATTGTGAAAAGTAAGAAAATTTTACTACAAACATAGTTATTTTTATAACAAAAATCGTAAACGTCAACTATACACGCCTTATTATTTTAACATGCTCAAAAACATTATTCAAGATTTCTAATACGTGAGTGTCATATTATGATGACGCGAAACATGTTTATATGTATGTAGAGTGTATATTCTCTCTCTTATGATACACCTACTTAACGTTTAAATTAAATGTGTATTATTAGTTGTTAATATTAATAACTGCGCGAAATCGTGACACGATAAAATACATTTACGTCTCTAAAATAATACGTTATTAGGAACTAATTTTTTGATTACTTGACATTCTTCTTTAAATTTCAAAAATTGATAGTGATCTCATATGAAAGCTTTTATGTAATCGGATAACAATTAAACAATAGCTAATCAAATTGGTCATCATAAAAATGTACTCGAAAAAAGTTTGCAATGGCTTTTTAGAAAGAAAAGAGACTGGAAAAATTTCCAAAAATAATACAAAAATACAGAAAATATCTGAAGAATATATAAAGATACTTTTTTTATACACCCTTAATTTGATGTTAAAATGAAATACAGAAATATAAATCACATATAAGTAACAAAAGAAGAAGAGATTTTATAATTATTACGATCAAAATGTATATGCGATATGTAATTTATGACGCGAAAAATGTTTTGAGGCGCATTTTTAAGGACCCGAAGAAAAATCAATCTGATGCCGAATGAAAAATGTTGAAGAAAATAGTGTTGGACACTTACGACGTCGATTATTTGCATGAGCGTGAGGCCGAAGCTCAGCACAAGGGGTTCGGACTCGTTGCCCACCGGTCGCTCCAGCACATTGTACGAGTCCAGCAGATCGTTCAGCAGCCGCTTCTCGTGTAAACCGCCACTTACCAGCCCTGCCCAATCACAATCAGTAGTCAATGACAAGTTGCGCGCAATCAGTCGCAACGATCGCCCGTCCTTGTCGCCGATGTCGCATCGCCTCGCTTCGGGAAATAAAAATGCAAGAAATGGGAGCGGGAAAGCATAGGAATGATTAATAATCGTCTCTCTCTTTCTCTCTCTCTCTCTCTCTCTCTCTCTCTCTCTTTCTCTCTTTCTCTCTCTCTGTTCTTTTCTCTATTTTTCTGCCGGTGTCCGAGCAGAGTTTATCTTCTTAGGGCTGTGTGAGCCCAGACCTACCCCAGCTATTTAGTATCTACCCATCCCCGACACTACCGTAACCACCCGATCCAAAGTTCTGGACTACTTTTCGCGAATACATAACTTCGCGAGTACTCTCCTTCTCTCTCTCTCTCTCTCTCTCTTCCAATTCTCGTCTCTCGTCTCTACTCCTCCTCTTTCGTTAGTTCTTCGTCGCTTGCTGTCTTTTCCTCTGTAAATCTCTGTCTTCTTCCCCCTTTCTCGCTTGCTTCCTACCATTACGACCTGCAGTTTATCTTTCTTGAATAAATCACTCCTTTGTCTTTCTTCCTTTATACCACCCCTCGCTTTTTATTAGACGGCTTTTCCTCTTTGTCTACTTATTCTTTTGCTTTCCTCTACTTTTTTTATTTACGTGTAACTTACTTCTCTCTCTCTCTCTCTTTTTCCTCCATCTCTCCCCCTTTCCTTCCTCCTGCTCTCTTCCTCTCTCTCTCTTTCTCTATCTATCTATCTATCTCTCTCTCTCTTCCTTTCTACGTATTTCATTATGTTACCAATAACGAAACGTTTTGTTCAATTAAAGTATGCGAAAATTTATAGTTCATAAAGTTTAGTAAGTTTCAGATAATTCAAGTACTAATAAATTTAAAGTTTTTACATCTTAACGTGTTTATTATATACTAAATAAACTCGATGCATTTAATATAATTATTCTTATAGAGAATAAATACAATATTTTTATTTATATAAAATCTGTTTATTTATATATTTTTATTTAATATTGTTATATATTTGTGGAATATTGAATTTATTCAAAAGGTAAAATATCCTTATTATTGTTATCTCAAAAATACGCTAAATATGCTAAAACAAGTTGATATAAAAATACAAGATTTAACTGGATGCGCTAGGAATTTGCGCTCTATAGTTAATACATTCTAGGCTGAGCGTATTCAACGGATTAAAGCATAAATTAGTGAAATATTCGGCATTGTAAATAGCTATATCGATGTATCAAGGATCTGATACTTGGACCAAAGTTTCATATTGCGGCTGAGAGTTTATCGACACTTATCGACATCTCAGGAAGTAAGATACCGTAAAGTTTAACTAGCTTAAAGCCGAACAAATATAACCTTTCATCAATCATAATCCGAAACGAAAAGTAATGTCAAAAATATTTACATTCAAATATTTAATGATATTACATAATTGTTTGCAATATAACATTGATTTATTTCTATATTTTTATTAGTAGAAAACACATTTATATATAGTAAACGTGTATCATATATATTTTCTAATTTTATTTAATTTTTTTTGTCAAGTTTGTAATTATTGATAATTGAATTCAATAATCAGTTTCTTATAAATAGCTCGATAGTAAAATTTCGAAATAAAATAATTAAAATATATAACGATAAAATATTAAATCGAAATCTTTCATTTTAATTTGCTTGTAAATCGAAAATTACCAATCTTATCTTGACATTGAAATAAAGAAAGGATAAGAAATTTCAATAAGAAAGAATTCTTTCTTATTGAATTCCTATTAAGAATTCTTTCTTATTGAATTTCTATTAAGAATTCTTTCTTTCTCATTCTTTCTTATTTGACTTGTGATATACAAAAAGCAAAAAGAAAATACTTGCAATATACTTCGTACGAATAACGAGAAGTGATATAATTAATGCAAAGTTTTATTCTCGTTGCTAGAATTTCATCGACAACTATAAAATCCGGGCTTGTACTTGGTATCGTTAGCATTTGCGTTTCCGTTGGAGGACGAACGAAATTTGCATTACGTATACGCATTTACATTGTAACCCGCCCACAAAAGTCGAAACAAAGGTGCAAGAATACGAATTTAAGCGGCATGAGGTCAACCTACAGTCGAGAAAAAATATGCGTAATTAAAGCACAAACACATCCCTGCTGTATAAATTCCTTTGCAAAGAGCGCGATAATCCTATGATAATAATCGCGTTTTGAGACAAGCGTCTTTCTTACATTAATCTAATCTATAAAATACTATTGAAGTACCGTATAAAAAAAAACTAATTTTTGCATAATAATTACATAATATAAAGTGTCACTTTAGACTATAATATTTTTATCAATTAAACATTTTGTTCTCTCTCTCTCTCTCTCTTATATTTTGAAAACTAAAAAAATTATGTAATAAATGATCGGAGCAAAGTTTAATATATTTGAGTAAATAGCATTCTCTTGTTTTCTCTATTTTTACCAATACACCTAAGTTTCACGAATGCAAAGTATTAGATACGAGTACATTTCCTTGCGACTGGCGGCATCTCGTCGCATCCTTGCGCAGAATGATGAAAAATGCACGTGCCAGTTTCTTCCCGGCGCTTTCGAGAAATTCTCGTTATCTGCGCGGCATCGCTCCATTTCTGTCGCACATGTAAAGAAAACCACGCCACAACGTAAGCCAAATTGTAAAACTCCTAGACATACGACATCCTTGGGAAATACGATGGATAATTGAATTCATGAATGTTAAAGAAAGAGAAGAATGGGATAAATGCGATTTCAAGACTCATAGGACCGCGTAACAATCGAGTTAGAAAATAATATTCTGCGTTAATTATTTACATTTAAGTGTTATATCAATTATTTAATTCGGAATATAATGATAGAACGGACAGAATATAATTTTTATATAAATATAATTTTTATATAAATATTCGAAATTCTTAAAATAGTATAAACGCAATTAAATTGTCCATTAAAATAGAATTGTATTTGTTGCGGAAACACTCTTTACGTCAATCGATAAACTAGTTTAAAACTTATTTTTGAAAATACAAGGCATTAAAATCTTGAAAGCTAGGAGACATTCTAGCGTACTCTAATCATTGGAGTAACGTCTCGACATTCCGAGTTCCGCGTTGAGGCTGTGGCTTAACGATAACATTTTATCTTCCGGTAGAGTAAGAGTTTTAAGTTTCATACACGGCCATTCACACGGAATTCTGCAGTTACGGTTCTGCGGTGCATTTTATTCCTCTTTCTTCGCGGAAGATCGGATGGTTTTATAACGTCGAGCGCGCATGAAACGAAGAAAGGAATCGCTGACGCGCTCGAACATCGTATGATATTTTTATTCCGGGGAAAATTAATTTCAACCAGTAAAAATGATCATCGAGAAATTTTTTTGCCGATAAACATGTGAGCCATAGATATCTCGATAAAAAAAATATCGTAAATGAAACGAGTGTCTTAGACATTTTCATTTTTTATAGAAGAAAGAAGAAAGAGAAGAAACGTTCATCCATCTATTATTAATAACAACTTCAAATCAAACTTCTAATCAAAAAATTCGTCATCTTTTTGTAGAAGTAAAACTATAAAGATTATATATGAATAATATTTTGATGCGAGTTATTCCAAAATCTTTTTATATTCTTATATAACAACATAAAACTTTTACAATAAATTTTATACAATGAGTATATACTGTTAGAATTAATATATAATTGAAGAAAATATTTATTAATTATAAAATGAAGAAAGAAATCGCTGACGCGCCCGAACATCGTATGATATTTTTATTCCGGAGAAAATTAATTTCAACCAGTAAAAATGATCATCGAGAAATTTTTTTGTCGATAAATATGTAATGTGAGCCATATAAAAAAAATATCATAAATAAAACGAGTGTCTTAAACATTTTCATTTTTTGTAGAAAGAAGAAGAAAAAAAAAGAAACTTTCATCCATCTATTAATAACAACTTCAAATCAAACTTCTAATCAAAAAGTTCGTCATCTTTTTGTAGAAGTAAAACTATAAAGATTATATATGAATAATATTTTGATGCGAGTTGTTCCAAAATCTTTTTATATTCTTATATAACAACATAAAATTTTTACAATAAATTTTATACAATGAGTATACTGTTAGAATTAATATATAATTGAAGAAAATATTTATTAATTACACTGGTCAACACTCAAATTGTTTCCTGACATTTAACATGTATTATCGGTTATATCTAAGGCACTGATTACGAAAAAAATACTAGTGTAGTTGTATCAGCTCTTACTTGTATCTACTTTTTTTATTTATAAGATATTACAATTAACAAATTCTGAAATAGGTTTTCGATATTTTTGAAAGATATATTCGCCACAAATATAACAAAAAATATCTGGATTATGTAAACAACGTCTCCGAGTCGAAGATTATATCGAAAGTTAAAAAAATAATAATTTTGAGTCGAGTAAAACTCAAAAAAACTGCACATGATGTCTAAAGAGGGTAGTCTAAAAATATTAAAAAACAAGAACTGTTAAAAAAAACTACTGTTGTACTCGAAATCAGCACACTTAAATAAGCCCAAAACTGCAAAATTATAAGAGGAAAAAGTTAAAATTATTTTTTTTGTTAACCAGTGTTATATAAGAAAATTTTATATATGATTATATGTGTGTGTGCATATTATTGAAGAAATTGATTTTCTTCTAAAAGAGATTTATGCAGATTTTTTACCGATAAAATCCTATGCAAAAGTTCGCGGAAATTTACATAAAGGATATTAATAATATTCCTACGTGTATGGAAACTGAAACTTTTTATGGTCGGCTTCCATACAATTCTTATTGGGATTTGAATTGTGGTAAGTGCAGGATTCAGTATTCCTCGAGGTATAAATAAAGATTATGTCGCAAACCTTGCCAGGATTACCAGATGGAAGATTTAGAAAATAGATTCGGAAATATTTCTTC